GCTGGTGGGGTGGGGTGAGAAGCAGAAAAGGCCTTGGCTCTCTGTAAGCACTGCTCAGCAGTAACAAAAACATCTCTGTATTATCAACACTGTTTCCAGCACAAATCCAAAAGGTAGCCCCATACCAGCTACTGTGAAGAAAATTAACTCTACCCCAGCCAAAACCAGCACACCTGGAAAGCAGGTAACAAAGCTTTATGCTTCTGAACGTTCATGGTTTCCTGGGAATGGAAACCTCCTTCTCTTAAAGTCCATTTTAGAATGTTTCAGTAAGAACTGTTTTTAAATAATTAATATTTTTTAAAAATACTGTCCTAGAAATTGTCAGAACAATTGTATAGGACAGGCCATGTCTCATTGGGATTAATTCTTATTCTCTAGCTGAGATAGTTTAGGCAATAAATTAAAAAGGCTTCAGTTGCATCACAGGAAAACATATGAGGAAAATGAGTTTTTGTGGAAAGCTGCAGCTCTGTAGATTTTTCTTGTGTAGCAAAAACTAGCACTGTTCCATGTTTTCCTGCATTGGATCCTCAAAGCGGACAAATTTGTAGGATTATCGGAAAACTCAAAAGCAGTGAGAAGCGTTTTACTTGACATTGCATTCCACTAGTATGAAAATTAAGCCTCAACAAAATGCAGATATTAAAATAATCTACTAACAATATCTATCATGTTTTGCAGCACTGTGTTGTTACTCCTTGACTTTTATGAGATTTGCTTACAAAGTGCAGCCAAGGAACTGGCTTCTTTTTGCATGCCACTTGACTAATGAAGTTGCACAACTTATTCAAGGAGGACGATTGATCAAATACAGGCAAGTCACACTTTAAAAAGGGGAAGTCATAAACTGATGGTTCTTGGAACACTGTTAGTGGCTTTTAGCTGCGGTGCAAACACCTGGATGGTTTCTGAACTTGTTTAACTTCGTTACCTTTTGCAAACCTATTAACAAGTTTGTTGTTGGTAGGCTGAACTAGACTTGTTGCCTTGCACCCCCTTTGAAGCTTCTGAGGGGTGCACACAGAAAAGGCTGAAAACCCTTATGGTCATGGATGTAGACAGGGCTTTCAGCAGCTGCTGGCTGTTTTGGGCTTTGTCTCATGTATTATGTTGATTAGTCTACCTGTGTCCATCTCAGTAACTAATTCCTGAGATGGAAACACCCATAAAACTGTGAAGGGCTTGTATGTCTGAAAGAGAAATCAAGCAAAACCTCTCCAAGCTGACTGTTCTATATATGGGGTAGATCCAACTGCGTGTGACCAGGGAACAGACTACAAGCAGTCTCGTACCCTCAGTATGTAGCAAGTAGTGTAGACACTGCCCTAAGCAATCCTGATGAGTCAGGATTATGCCTTTTCTCTCTTCTGCTCCAAGAAATCCATGTGGAACAATGAGAGGATGAAGCCTCCTGAACTATAAATTAAAAAATGAGACTGAACAACACTGCAAGTGGACCTGCCTTTGCATAAATAACTGGCCAGGTGTCCTTCATTCCTAAGGTTCTGCTGCAAGTCCAGATTTTCTTACAGCAATTGCAGTTCAATATTCACTCTTACAAAAGCTCTTCTTCTCTTGGCAGGATGGAGAAAAAGAACTAAATATCTAACTTGAAATAAGCCAGGGAATGTGTTCATCCCGAATTACAACCAAGGAAGACTTGCCATCTACAGTTGCTGTGACAATTACAATGGGGATAAAACAGAAACACCTCTTATGAATATGACCCCACCAAGAATCCTTCTACTAATTTTTTTTTTATCTTGCCTTTTAAAAAGTACTATTCAGCAATGAAAACCATTGCATTTAAAGTCTTGCTGCCTTACAGGTCCTTAATTAACTACCCTTTTAGTAAAGAGTTAGTCATCCAAATAACAAGCAATATTTGAAAACCAACTTTTTTTTATCTAACAGTCTACAAAAGTGGCCCGTGATGGTTTGACAACTTGTTTTCAAATCAACGTGAACAGAGGTCTGTAAACAGAACTGTAGGTGGTATCATTGTTCTATATATTAACATATTCTTAAAAGCCATTTAACTTGGGTGCATTCATTCCTATTCGGTCTCTTTTTTGAACTTAAGCAGCAGCTTGGTAATCTACAAGAACAAATGTGTAGATAGGCAGTCTGGAAGTGACCAGCTTTCCCTCTTCCCTTACTGCATGCCTTGTCTCAGCAAAGAGACTTTATTAACATACATTTTTAAGTCGCACATTATTTAAAGAAGACTCAGAAAAGCAAAAGCATAGCACTGAATGAAGGAAAGCAATGAAGTCTGATACTGTTCTTTAAGAAGTTCTAAATGGATTTTTTTCCTACTGTTTAAGTTGTTCTAGATGTATGTAATCCTTAAACAGGCAAAAACTTAACTTGTTTGGAGCCTAAGATCTGAAGGACACAAGGTGCCTTTCAGTAGTTTTTTTGACTTCATTGAGTTTTCCTGCATGACCTGCCTGAAAAGTTACATTGATGTAAAGATACAGATGACAAAGAATGTATGTGATAGATTTTATTTCAGTGCAGTGTTTTTGAACAATAAACATGTTCCAAATGGCAATAAATCCCTTCAACATTTTGAAAAGTTTTATCATAATGTGATGCCAGATCCTGAAGTGAAACTTTAGTATGGAGTGTCACTTTATTACTGTAACAGCATGAAGCAAAAACAGGCTGGAAAAGTAAGTGGTGTTATCCTTTGTATGTACTGAGTTAAGGCAAGTGTCCTCTGGATCCTAATACCTACCACTTTTTCCTTCCCAAGGAAAAGGGGGTGTGGGTACTTGACTGAGTATTCCTGCCATGATAGGCAGGGTTGAATTCAGGGCTCTCGCTATGCAGCTGAGTAAATATTACATATTATCTTCTAGCAATTGTAAGATGGCCAGTTAAAAGACTTGCTTTAATCCTAGGCTGATATTGTGTTCCCAGTTGCATGGTGGCTAAATTTTGTAACAGGCATACAAGAAAGAGGCTTATAGAGCATGCCCTGCTGGATGGGTAAAACTAGTACTGACTGCTAGTCATTGCTTTAGCAATGTTAGTGCATAAAGCTGCCCCTTCAGAACTGCTGTCTTGTCACAAAAGTAGTCATCTCTCTCCTTCCCTATCTCCTGGGATAGAAGCAGCGTTAGACTTTTGTATAAATGAGTAGTGAGATACAAGCAGATAAGGATAACTGATTATCTTAGCACCTTATAGTTTGTTATCTTATTTCTGGAGAGAAATTAACTTATGGGTGAGTTTGAACTTCATAGGTATGAAATGTAGTGTTTTGGGCTGCTCTTGGGTAAAGCTTGCAATAGATGGAATACTCCAGCCTCACCTGGCACTTTGATCACTGTTCATGAGCTGCTTATTGTCTTAACTTCCCTAACTAGGGAATACCATTTACAAGAGTTACCTTCTCTCATTTTCCTGGTAGCTGCCTGCACCATATTTTCTCATGTATTTCCTTCTGCCTTTCTCTCTCCTTTCTTCCCCCCATCCATTCACTGTGGTGAGGCTCAAGTTCTTTCATGCTGGAGTAGTGTGAGAGTGAATTGCAGGTGGAAAGTGGGCTCTAACTTGCTTTGATTAGATTTTAAACAGGTGATGCTTCCTGCAGTCCATACAGGCTTCCACAAAAAGGGGAAGGGGTGGAGCAAAGCATCTTTCATGGGATTTGTAGGGACAGGGCCCAGTCTGGGATGGGGAACTTGGGGCTGGGGTGGATGTTCCACAGCCTGTCAATCTGCCTAGTGACAAAAAAGTTTAGATGGGCAGAGTGCCACCAAGTGGCTCATGTGACCTGTGTTCTTCAGAGCATTATTTATCAAGACATTTACGTAACATTTCTCTGTTTAAATAATGGTACTTGGGGGGAGAAAAAAAACAAACCAAAAAAACCCCACCCAAACCTTACTAAATAATGGTACTTGGGGGGAGAAAAAAACAAACCAAAAACCCCACCCAAACCTTAAGGAGGAGAAATGAGGAACTATTGCAATAAGTAATTGTATAGCTAATCTGCACCCAGTTCCTCCAGCACATAATACTGAGACACGTTAGCATATGGCCATTTTGGGATGATGCTGTCTGGGGTAACCCAAAATAGAACACTTTAAAGAGACTCTGGAGATTTCTGTATTCTTGAGTCTGAATACCTCAGTGGAGCTAATAGTTTGGGGGTTTTTTGTTTTGTTTTTGGGTTTTTTTACGCAGGTTGCATTGGATAAAGGAATGGGGCTATGCCAGCTTAACTGATTAATGGTAATCCAAAATTAGAGCTCAGTATTTGCATTTAACTTCCAAGATTATAGGGATTGTCTCTACATGCTGTTATTCTGGAATAGCTATTCAGTTTTAATTTCACAGCTTGCTTTAATCCTAATAACTTTTCAACTGCAGGATGTCCCCTGTCACTGTGCTGCTCTGATCCCATGCACTGTCCTGTGTGTACTGCTCCTGTTCCACCACAGTAAGACTGGGAACCACATGGTCTTTCCTGTCTTGCTGCTGCCGCCTTTCATGTTTTCAGACAGAAAAGAATTTCTCACCTTTCCAAGCAAGTGCTGTTTCAGACAGAAAAGAATTTCTCACCTTTCCGAGCAAGTGCTGCTAGCCTGCTGGTAAGGAATGTGACACCCTTGGGAATTCAAGTGGGAGACAGTACCAGCTAAGCTCTCAGTCTGTCTGTCATTCCCAGTCTTCCCCCAGTTTGAGCTTGAGCTCTCTTGACCCACTTCTTCAAGGGCAGACTTAGACTATAACTTACTATGGCATTGAAATAGCTCACAATGTCTTCTGCTGTTGCAGGATTAAGTGGCCTTGATCTGGAAGCTTGCTGATTTATGATTCAAATGTGGAGGTCATTTGGTAACACAGTAATAAATGGCAAAAAAGCAATAACCATAATGGTGGGGTCAGAACAGAAGAAATTACTTGCAAGGCTCCTTTAATGAGGGTTATAACAGCTACCTATAGTGAGTTTTGTTCAACCTCCCACACCTGCCCCATGCTATAGAATCATTTCAGCTAATGCTGCTATGTATGGTATATTCTCTTTTTTGTTTTGCTTCTATGACTTCTGTATGAAGAAGCGAGTTCTCCCTACTCTAAAACCAGAAGACTCCCTTTAGCCAGGGTACTGCAAATACAGCCTGCCAGCTCTCAGAGAAAACACATTCCTAGTAAAACTTAGTTCTCCGTAGCATTGTGGGTTATCTTTTGTTCTCCATACAAAGCACAATGGTGCCATCTGAGCAAGGACAGCAATGTAGAGGACTTGGGGGGGGGGCAGGGGGAAGGGACAAAAGTCTCAACAAGGTTACAGACTGAGAGAAGGCAGCAAAAAAGGGAGAGTTTGCTCCTTGGGGCCAAGACAGGTTTTGACATAGAAGTAAAGTGTTCAGAAAATGCAATCCCAGATTAGGACAGAGCAGTCTTCCAACTACTCCAGTGCCTTCCCTGAGCTCTCTCCATGAATGCAGATACTAACTGCATTATGGTCTAATACATGGAGCATTTACATGTACTTACTTCAACTCTGTATGTTTCCAGTGTACATGAACCTGTATTATACTGGCACAGGTGCAGACACATGTTACTGCTTTACATGCCAGTCAGAAGAAAGGGAAGGAAGTAAAGAGCAGGAATAAAAAGATAGAGAATAATAATTTAAAAAACCTACTAGTGTGATACATTTATTGGTGGGTTTTGGAGCATTTACATGTACTTACTTCAACTCTGTATGTTTCCAGTGTACATGAACCTGTATTATACTGGCACAGGTGCAGACACATGTTACTGCTTTACATGCCAGTCAGAAGAAAGGGAAGGAAGTAAAGAGCAGGAATAAAAAGATAGAGAATAATAATTTAAAAAACCTACTAGTGTGATACATTTATTGGTGGGTTTCACACAAAGCCCTTTATGAATAAGGCCTGTTTCTTCATGCTGACGTGACAGACTACCAACACTATAAAATGGTAATATATGAAAGATTCACAAGCAGAGTTACCAGCTCTCTTAGGTTTTCAGCCTGTGTTTCACAGGATACTTTGATCCTGTCTGCATTTGGGGAAGAACAATGCTAACTACCTAATTTAATATGTCTGCAGTTCTGCTTCTATAGAGCTGGAGTATTTATGCTGTCATCTTATGCAGAGGTTAAAACGTTTATCTGATTGAATAAGACATTGCTGCAAGTTTCACTGTCTTTATAAAGTGGAAAAGCAAGCAGTCTGGTGTTCTAAACTGAGGCAATTTCTTTATTAAATAAATTGTGGAGAAGTCTGTCTCTCCCCACCCAATCCCTTTCTGCTTTTGCTGATCTAATAGCTGCCAGTGCATTGCATTTAGTCACTGTGGTAACCAGCTCTAAATAACCAATGTCCATAGAATCAACCCAATAGCAACCAGAAGGCAGAAATACTGGCTTCCTGGATAACCTGCTCTGAGTGTCATTACTGAGGTCCTGCTCCTTCAAGATCACCGCCTCTCTCTATCACATGGCCTAATCCTGACCATGATATTGCTCTCTTCCCACTTTTTCTCCTCCTCCCTCTCTTCGTTCTCACCTTTTTTAACAGTAGGTTTCAAGTAACTATGGCAACAAGCCTGGGAATTTTCAGCTTATTCATTTAGTCTGGAATCTGGGTCATGTCTTTCTCATTAAGTGAAACTATTGTATGGGGATAACTGGCTCAAACTCAGCCCTTGGTGCAAGAGAAAGCAGCACCAATTACAGCAGCACTTGCAAGTACTTATGTGGTGGCTGTATTTGGTCCACTATGTAGAAATATGAAAAGGTGCAAAGCAAACCACTTAAAATTTTGAAAGTATTTCATAATTTTGAAAGCATTTAACCCATAACTTACCCAGGGGAGAACCATGCTGTAACTTGCTTTAGTTGGTGTTGATTTATAGGATGTTTGGAATAGTGTCGTGTCATGCTTGTTGTCCTAGGGTATGTATTAACTGAAGGGATGCCTTCTTAGAGTGGTATTGAGTGATGCAAATGAGACTAGCAGCCTTTCTCATTCTTTGAAGAGGACATGGGGTGTTGTGAAATCTTAAAGCTGTCTCCTGACAGGACAAGATACTAATCTCCTCTAACCTGTCACTCTGCAGGCTGCCTGGATCTGAGATCATGGCTTAAACACAGAAAGATCTCCAGATTTTAACTTGTAGCAATTGTTGATGACTTACACATGTGGATAGACCATGTCTCCTTGCCCCTGGGATCACTTAAAATCCAAAGACAATTACTGTGTCTGTTCATGGGGAAGCCATGTGAAGCAACAATTACAAGGTACTTTTGTACACACTTGATGTTATGGGTCACCTGGGAGCAAAGCACAAAGCCAGCAGTGTGATTGGCAACCTCTCTAATACTTTGTGTTTGTTATACTGTAAATTGGTAAACATCAGCATCAGCTCTCAGCCAGATTATTGTTAGGAACAGGAAAGGGTTCAAAGATTTGGCAAGGTACCCAATAGTCCATCAGTTAACCAAGCCTCTGTGATACCTGATCTGAGTGTACGATGCCACAGAAAGAGAAGAGCTCACAAGGCTGTTACTTCTTTGCATTTGTTGCGTCAGCCATGATGAGCCAATAAAGGCTATTACCTTTCCCGCCAAAGCTTTGCAGTAGCTCATGGTGTTACTGTGAACCACAAACACACCTAGCTACAAGGTGCCTGCCAAGCACTCCAGGAAACAGCTCTTATGTCCACAGGTGGTTTTTGTATGCCTCAGCTCCCCATATCAGAGACCTATGAGTGAGATCAGTTTCTGACACTAAAGAAGATCAAAAAGAAGGTAACACTGTATCTGGAAAGGTTTGAATCACAGCAAAAACAATTACCATGAAGCTGTATTGAAGCCACCAAGTGTGTGCTCTGCTGGACGGGCCTGTGACTCTGGGTGATGTGCAGGAAGTGTCAGACAAATTAGAAGCGATGGGTTTCCTGAACTAAGGCACAAGATAGGGGATGCATTTTCCAGCTTTTGCTTCCTTGCTCCTTGTTTTTGGATCACCACCACCTGTCACTGTCAGCGATGCAGGTTTGTTGCATTTTCAGGAGCATGGGATCTTTTCAAAAGACACGAGGGGCGTTCATCCCCACTGGTAAGCTCCCTTCCTTTCAGTGGGCTTCAGAAGCTGCTCCTTTGATGTGAGATGTTTGCACCAAGCAGCAGGATTGAGGTGGGATCTTATCAGGTAGAATGGGCAAGTCCCCAAAGCAGCTCTACGTTTTCTGTTTTCTACCATGCTCTCAGTGGGTCTCTGAAGGAGATCCTTTACTCAGTTTTACTTAGCGTTCCTTGTAACCCCTGGCCTTCACCTTTCAGCAATATTCATTCAAATATCCCATTTCCAAAGGTGAAGAATGCAAAGGTAAGGAGGGATATGGGACATTAGAGCCCTAAAGTGTGACCACAGCAATCACAGAACTCTTATTTTTACAGAATAAGGGTTTACAGCTGGTAGAGCTATGAGACTGAAGGGTACAGACACTGCTCTATATATGTTAAAACCATGCCACCGACTGCATCAATTCAGCAAGTTGGCTGAATTCATGCATTTTTCAGGAAGACAACATTACTTAGCAGATTTTTCTAGCTAGCTTCAAATTTAGATGTGGATACATGCAAACTAGTGAGGTCAAGAATCAATGAAATTTGTAAGCGGACCACACCATACCTCAGGAACAGAGAAATAAACTGGGGCTTGCAAATCCATAACACCCTCATCATGAAACCAGACATTAGCTCCACATGTGGTATGTTTGTCAGCCAAAGGCAAAATGATGTTTTGTACTGGCTATTTTGACTTGTGTTCAGAAAAAGAACTTGAGCTTTCTAGAAAAGCATAACAATTTTTTGATCCTACTGCCTTATCAGCCAAAATTCATCAGCACAGAAATACTGAACAACATAGGCCTTCTGAGTTGCCTGTTTTTCATGGCAAGGTAATGACTGTCTCACGGTATTTCATGATAGTGCAGAGAATTAAGAATTTCTGCTGAGCAGAGAAACTAGGAGAAATAAATTTGGGGTGACTATGCCAACCTTCTGCTCAAGAAAATAGCGGGGAAGCAAACAAAACCCTTTGCCTCATTCAGGAGTGAAACAGCTGTGGGTGCCAGCCGGGCAGTGCAGCCTAGGCAGCAGCCAGCTGGAAGGGAGCGGGCAGCGGTAGGATGCAAGCCGGTCCCCTGCAATGCTCAGGGCTCAGGCAGCCCAGGTTTGCATGGCTCTTCTCCGCTTTACAGCGGCGAGACCGTGCGCTTGTTCACACAGAAACAAAAACAGAGCTTCAGCTTGCTCTCTGCCTGGTGCTTACGTGCCTGTATTCCCTGTATGACCAGAAAGCCACCAGTAATCCAAGGCAGAGCCAAACACTCCTGCATAAAGACCAGATCTGCAGACCAGAAGGGTAGACGCGGATTTAAATTGTCTGTATCTATCTATATCTATCTATAAATTGGGAGGGAAAAAAAACAGAGGGAACTTTTTTCTTGTTTTTATATTTTGCTCCCAGATACGCTTTGGAATTAAGATGCGTTTGTAACAAATCATTGGCAATACTTCAATGCCATCAATTCTGGGGGCTACTTCTGGGCTTTTTGGACCTAATCTCCTATCTTTCCATTGCTTAAAGTAGCAGTCCTATCATGCTCGCTATATTTTTGTAAAAGTAAATAGAAATTATATATAAAGGCTGGTCCTGCCTATATTTAAATTAAAAGAGGTAATGGTGAGGTTCATTGCCCTAATTCATCAGACTGAAACTTAGGTGTCTGGTCTGACCTAGTCATCCATGCTTCCTCTACAGTCACTGGAGAGCAGAAGGCAATCTCTCCCTTACTAAAATAATCTGCCTTAGATGAGAAGAACTGCCCCCTGAAAGTGCTACTCTCTCTGGACTGTAGCAATCCAGAAAATTGCTCTAAATTTTAGGCTTAATTTTTTGGCTGCATCTGGTTAAATTTAATAAAAGAAATTAAAATTAAAGCCGCCTTAAAGAAGGCGGCTGTGATTTTGAAAACCCAACAACTGCTCATTGGAGGTAGCACAGGAGATGTGCCCCTGTTACGAAGGTCTTGAACAGATCATCAGGTGGGATCGAACTCCTGCTTGGACATCTCTGAGTCCTGGGATTGCCATGAGGGTGAGTCCAGAGGAGAACATGCTCTTTGGCATCATGTCAGAGCCCCATGCCTGGACCTTGCAGAAGACTTTTGTGAAGGCACAACCAGCGACACCTGCCCGGCCTGCTCCCTACCACAGCCTACCTCAGTAATTCCTGGTATTAGCACTTCAGCATCCAACTTGAACAAAAAGGTACTGCCTTTCCATAGATGTTTGAAGGGAATGTCGGGGAAGGGAATGTCGGGGCAGGGAAGGGGAGGTGGGGGCGGGGGAGGGTGGGGGGGGAGCGGTGCGGGGGGGGGGGGGGGGGGGGGCAAGCTCGGGAAGAAGAGGTGTGTGAGGCTTGTTGCATTGGTCTCAGAGCTATAGAGAGATGATATACATCACTGGCACTACCCCAAAGACTGTTAGGTCTTTAAAAAACCGTTCCCTGGGGAACTGTGGTATGTAGCAGCTAGCGAAGGCGGAGAGCAGATACCCAGAGCCTGCCCCATGTGAGGGACTAGGGTCCCAGCACTTGGTTAACTG